GCAGGAGGTCCCCAAGGAAAGGTTTGCCTGAAGTTTGTTAGATTTTCATATTCCAGGCCCATTCGAGTGCAAGGCTGAGGGATTGGGAAATTTGTTTTCAAAATGAAGAAAAAAACCTTCTTGGTATTGAAGAAAGAGAGGCAGTGGTCCTGGAGAAACAAATATGTTAAGCTGTACCTGGTTGGAAATGTTTATTCTGTTTCTGGACATTATAATTGGTGTATTATGCCACACCCTCAATGTTTTCACTTCAAGCGCTAGGGCAGGTAGTCCAGGAGTATTTTGTAGATGTGAGTCCTCATTCTTTTTTTCTTCCAAAATATCTGACAGTTTATGCATTCTTGAAAAGCTGCTGCTAATAATGCATTCATGTAATAATAAGCACATTCTAAAATAAATAAATAAAATTCTCTCTTCAGAATATTTTCGTGAACTGTAGGGGTGGGTTATCCTTGGCCAGGAGCATGGTGGAAGTATGCAACACAAAGGGCAAGGCTGGAGGACTTTATAGTGGTTTGGCTAGCCCTCAACCACTAGTCACTGATTGAAATCCAAAGGTACTGCTTGCCATACTTACTCTTGGTGTCCTGGCCAAATCCTAACTTAGGTTTTTATATGATGCCTATCTAATATTGTATTATCATCTTTATATTATAGTCAAATCTAAGCTGCATAACGTTCTGTAAAAAAGTGGTATTGCTGAATCGTAAATAGTCTAAAGAAGTCACAAACAGCAACAACAGCAAAACGGGAGGGAAGAAATTAGAGGTGTGAGGCAGAAGATCCCATACACAGAAAAGTTAGGAGAACAACTATTAATGAATATTCCTTTTCCATAAATAGGTACAAATGAGGAACAGTTGTTGCCATTCCTGTTAGTACTGTTACTACTGCGTGTCACTGCAAAGGTGGCTGCACAGCCTGGTGTGGAAAAAGCCATTCTTGCTGATAAATCTGTAGAAGCAAGTGATAAAACCTGCCAGATTGAAACACACTGTTTTGCCAAGGGTCGTGCAGCAAGTCAGCTTAGAGGCGGGGAGTGAGACCTGAGGCCACTGCCAGCCTACTGCTCTGATGCCCAGTTCTGCTCTGGTTGGAAAATCTGCATAGACTCAGAAATACTAGAAAGAGAAGGAAAAGTCATTTTATCAAGCACGTAAGAGTATGCTCTAAATTACTGAATGTTGCCCAAGAAACAAGACTGCAGCCCCCAACCATCAAAACAGACGATCCTGCTGTTTATGGGACTTCTTCCTGTTCAGAAGCTAATCTAGTGCTGACAGCTGCGAGGAAGCGGTTGGGTGCTTACAGTGTGATTTCTGTAAGCTCCAGCAAGTTTTCAGACACACATTATCCAATAGAGTACTGTAACATAGTGATTAAAGCCAACAGAATATAACAAAGTGGTATTTTGAGGTATGGAAATGGCCTTGCCATGAATGTTTAGAAAAAGTTGATCATTTTGATTCATTTTTTTAGATTGGTATGACATAACTTAGCATTCTGGTTGCAGCCTTGAGTATTTTTGCAACACAGTTATGTTTTTGGTTAGAAACGATGATAGATATGAAACCGGGACATCACCGCCGACTTCTGGTTTTCGCTAGGGCTGTTTCTTCAGCTGTACTGCCTGATTTTACTAATCTGAGTTGCAGCTGGAAATGATTCTCAGATGCCTACAAGCTAATACAGTCAATGAAAGCGTTCTTGATGGGATTTTAATATTGACACACCTTGTAATCATAAGTACTATCCCGGGAGAATTAAAATAAGTGCCAGGAAGATGCCTATACAATAATCAAGCAGGATGGCTGGATTCTGTCTGTAAATAATGAGCAGTAGCTGTTGAGTCGTAAATTAAAAATGGTGACACTTAACAGACAGATGTCCTTGTGAGTGGAAAACGGAAAGGCCAGACAGCTCGGTAACGTTAGTACGTTATTTGCCAGTTCACAAATGCTGGCAGAGTTGTCCCAAATTTGGTGCATTAAACAATAAATGATAGTCAAATAAAGAGCAAGAATGTTAAAAGGGAATTTCAAGGGGAAAATGCTGAGCTAGACATCCAGGCAATGAAACCAATTGATCCAAAATGCTCCTGGCACTCTGCCAGCCCCCATGCTCCTGCTAATTTGAGACGTTCTGCTGTCACGTTTTCAGGCTCAGCTGCCCAAGAAGGCGCTGGCAGGACAACCTTTAGTGCTGTAGTGTGTCTCATCCTTAGGGAGGAGGACAGGGCTTGAATTCCTGACGGAAGAGAGACTTTGACTGTGGTTTCTCGCAGATCTGGGGGGAACTTTTGCCCCGGAATCGTGTAACGACAGGCAGCAGATGCAGGTCCCGGCAGCTTTTGCAGGTAAGCAGCGGCCGCGGCTGCCTCGCGTGCAGTGTTGGGGCCACGTGCCCCCATGCACTTTATTGAACTGAGCCCTGTCAGGGTGATAATGATGTGCCGGGCCGGTCGGCAGAGTGCAGCAGGCTTGGGGCTTGAGGTGCTCCCCCCGGTTGAGAGTGGGCTGTTTGGGACACGTCTGGAAGCCCGGGCGACTGTTGACGAGGACTTTGGCGTTAGGAGTCAAACAAGTGATGCTTCATTTGTGGGTTCTCGCTGTTGTTAGCTGCTGTAGCGGCTGTTTTATTTATGGGTTTAAGCCAATATTTTGTCAAGTGCACAATGTAAAAAAAAAAAAAAAAAGGAAAAAGAAAGAAATAGAACTGCTCTAATTTTCTTCCAGTTTCATGAAAATGCTCAAAATACGTTTTAAAAAGTTAATTAAACCCTTCTTAAGCAAACCTAGACAAGATCTGATTGAGAAGAGAGATCAGACAGCGTTCTGCAGGCTCAGGCCTTCAGGGGCACACCAGAGTTTATACAAACTGCGGCTAGGAATAGCACGTGGATATCCTGCCAGCCTTCATCACAAAGGCATCTTTCATCCCTGAAAATGTAGATGTAATAAGGAGTCCAGACCATGGAAGATGGGAAGGCCTAAAAATATTCGCATGTGACATTAGCTTTTTTATGTGTCTATATATAGCTGTGTATATTTTTAGAAGTGTATACATACTCACACACACAGAAGGAATAATTATTCCTATCGATCAGAATCAGAGTTTGAGTGAGATGAATCCAGTGGTAGTTTACACCCTTTTCTTTGCTGATACTTCCCCTTATAAATTATTTCATGAATCTTCTAAGCCAAAAAAAAAAAAAAAACACTTTCAGGAGCTTGAGTGATTGCTTTCTGTGCAAAGACATCTCACCTTTAAAAAAAAAAAAAAAAAAACCCAAAAGAAATGGGCATAAGCTTTTCTCCTGCAAGGATCATTTGTACTTTTAATTTTATTTTTTTTTCCATTGGTTGTTTATTCATTGGGTTCTTCAAAACTCTGTTGCATTCACTTTTCTTTAGGCAGATTCTTTTTCTAGGATGTATTTAGAAAGCCTGTTGTCAGAGACTTTGAGAGCACGCTTTTCTTTTGGACGTGGGTAGATTATTTTTAATTATTACTGAAATGGTAAAAATAGGAAGTAAAACCTACGCTCTGTGTGTGCTCTTATTTGTTTTGTATTTTGTTTTATTTTTTGTAAATATGTCCCTGTGGTGGAAATCAAACATTTCTTCTTAAAATAACTGCACTCTCACTAGGTGCTCCCTACATCCAGAATTGATGTTTGCAAGTTTCTGCCCGTTAAATAAACACTGAATTTTTATCGGAAATGGCATCTATTTCAGAGCTCATTAGAGGAAACAACCTTTGCCAAAGAAGAGGCTACTTAGAGTTTTCAGAAATGCAGTATTCGAGAGCACTGGGAAAAAAACGATCAAGGGGAGGCTAAGTCCAACCCCGACTGCGGTCTCTGACCTTCTCGGGGAAGGCGTCTCTCTGCGCTGGCGGGGCCGGTGGAGGTCGTGCCCACAGCGCAGCGCCGGGGAACCCAGCACCCAGCCTTTCCCCTCTTGCCCGAGAGCCAGTTTATTAAGCAAGCTCCTTAGCAGTGCTTCCTTTGCTTCGTGTCCTGGTCACAGTGCTTTTACACAGACTGTCCTTCCTACACCCCTCTTTTGGATAAGGCAGGCTTGCTCTCAGGCAGGTAAATTGCCCATCTGTATTCCAGAAAGTCCCTGCCCTCATCTGTAGTTACAATTTAAAAATGTGGCTGCTCTTTGCTATTCAAGTGCAGATATTTAATCATCAAGCATTCGTGCCTGTCTGCAAATGTCCAGGTTGCTCATACCCACTATATTCAGCCCCCAACCCCAGCATGTCTCTGTAAGTCAAAATGAGTTGGTAAACTGCTTTACCTTATTTTCATTAAAATGACACGTACATTTACCATATTCTTTATGATGAATTTGTGGCTCCACGTAGGGTATCTATTACATAATGATATATATTTAAAAGTATTTATTTTCTTGCCACACTGACCTGCTTTAAATGCTGCAGGGTGGCGTTACCGCCTTTTTTTTCAGCAGTCAGTTGATACCAGTAGAGATCTTTGTTCTTCAGCTTCTAAACCCTTGGTGACATTACAACTGCTCGTTTCTGCATTCGTGCAGCTGCTTTATCCTTTTCTAGGTGGCCTCTGATTTCAATTCAAAGTTAATGGTTACTATTTATTACATACTTAAAAGTGGCATGCAGTATAGTCAGTACGTGCAGAGAGTGCTTCGGAAAACACAGAATCCCTGGTATGAAGAACATGCAGTTCCTAGCCAGGTTGTGCAAATGTGTAAATACATGGGTAATTTACCTGTGCTCTGGGGTTATGGGAGAACTTAAACGGAATAACTGAGCATCCAGCATGACTGAGTCCTAGGATGGATGTTAATAGCCATGAAATTCAAACAAAATAAAACAGGCTCTGCACCCTGCAGAAACATCTTAGTTCCTGGATAGCTCCACTGTTAAGTTATTGTAGCAGGATGTTGTCTTTTTGGTAAATTATCGGTGGTCTCCAGAGAGCTGCAGGTGTGCTGCATCATTTTAGACACTCAGCCACAAACTGTAGAGCAGTCTTGAAGGCTTTAGACAGTTCAGGTATGGCTCTTCAGAAACTTTTTTAGGTGGAGCTAATTGCCATCATCTTTTTCTCTGTGCTGCCTCCTTCTCCCACCCCATTCCCTGGTTCTTTAGGTGCTGACTCCTCCAGCCCTGCTGCTGCCACAGCCCCGCAGGACAGCGGGGCATGTGGCCGTGACAGGTAGTGCGAGGCAGCCCAGGGGCTGAGTGACAAAGGGGGCAGTAGTAGAGCTGAGGTGTGTCTGTTCATCCATGCTGATGTTGCTATATCCTCATGGAAGCACTGGTCCTTGGCAGCTTCCGTTCTGGTGCGGGAGTTCAGTTAATAAATCAAACAGCGCTCACTAGCTTGGTCTCTGCTCCAGGCCTCATCTTTCACATTGGTGTGTCCTACCTACATCGGGGTGTCCTACCTTTCACATTGGTGTGTCCTACCATGTGTCACTGCCTAGAGAGTGATATTGCAGAGTACAATTTTTAGTAGACCCTGATGAAGAGCCTTTTGCAGAAATACAGGGATTTTACACTGAAGCCCATGGTAGGAGCTCTTTCTGTTACAGCCAGTTCCTACTCCCATAAAATGTTTACCCACTTCTAGATGCCACAGCACCCTCCTTCTTCTGTTGCCTTGTGGGACTATGTCTGTTTATTGCAAGGACTGAACATAAAGGCTGTTTCTCAGCCAATTCCCTAAGGAGTACATTAGAAATAGGATAAGAGATGTCCCCTGTCTTTCAGGACTTTTAAAATGAAGTGCGTTTCTTAGAGAAGGAAGGTGCTAGGCACTCTGAGCAGGCCTATACAGCGTAGTTCAGGTCATACTGATTCAGCAGTTGCTACCATTGAGTTCTGCACAACTCCGATTCCAAAAAACACGAAACATCACTGATACCAGTAAGCATCACAGCACAGCTGAACATCTGCAGCGAGAGGGAGGGAGGTATCCAGGGGCTCTGTGGAAACAGTGAGGTTATCCTTCTCTTTTCACCGAGTGTCCTATATTAATTGTACTCTCTGATGTAATCTTCCTTGGAGGTCAGGATCTCTCTGAGGGACTTAACTTCTATCGTACAGGATTACAGTCCCAAGTGTCAGGCCTTCACTCCTTGAGTTATGGACACCGTGTCCCAGCCCAGCCCTCCTAATTCTCCCATGTCACTCAGAGACCTCCACTGACCCTGTATATAGAGCAGCTCTGCTCTGGCACTTCTCCAGGAGTGCCTCCAGCCTCATCCCCTGTCCCCTCCTGCTGTGGTAGAACAGAGGCTGTATCTGCCTGTCCTCATAGCTGGAGACATGGCGACAAGTGGCAGGGTGGGAAGGGCAGTGTGAGCAGGGCACAAAGCTCGTGTTGCTTATATTCCAGTACTGTTTGAACACTTAAATCTTTTGATATCATTAGGGTTTGGGTATATTTGTAAACATAGAGAATATACAGGACTGCTTTAGTCCTGCTGACAGGCTAGACAGATTAATTTGAGCAGGTACCACCTGAATGCAGCTATCCAGCTTCTGGTACCTGAGCTAGTCAAGGCGTCTCCGTAGTGCACTGCAGTCTGCTGTTGCTGCCAAGGCAGGCAGGGTGCTCTCTCCCCCAGGAGAGGTGGGCGCTGGCTCGCTGAGTTTTGGTGTTTCTCACATGGATGCTCTGCTTCTGGCTTGTCAACAGTGAGTCATGAATTCCAGCTATTCGGTTCACTGCTTGGTAGATCATGCTGAAAATTTACAAAGAAAAAACTATGACTGCTTGAGATGAATAAAGGGATGAACTGGGTGGATTTTGTTTTGCAAGGGATATTTCTCTCTGTTCCTCTCTTGCTGTTTTGTTCTCTCCCTGCCACGCTAATTTCCAGTCTTGCTTGATTTTGAGGCATGAACTCCATAGTTCATCCCCACCTCTTTTTGTTGGGGTGTTGGGGATTAAAACTTTTTTCCTGAGCTCCTTTATTCCAGCTCTTGCAGATCACAGCTGCCCTTTTCCAAACATCGGTTCTTGAGAGACTGCTTTGGGTATGCTACTCAGAGCAGGTGCCGTTTATGGTGCTCCTCAGCAGTTTTCTCCTTCTCTCTCCCCGCTCCAACTTCCCCTTGGGCTGTGCAAGTTTTCTGCAAGGCCTGGTGTGGCTATTCCTGACTTTCAAGGAGCTACTCCTCTTACCTGAGCTTCTCCCAGGCGTGTTGGCTTCCTGGCTTCCGGCTGTCACTGCTCGCATCGGTACTGCGTGTTGCTCTTGGTTGCTGCTCCCTGTGCTCAGGAGCTGTTTCCAGGAATGGACTGCATGGCAGCCGTGGATGTGACAACTGTGGTCTTTGAAAAAAACAGAAAGAAACTTTCTGAAACTCTCAGTGGGCAAGAACGAATGCCCTGCCATGCCAAGCAGGGGGCTGACTCGCAGTGTACCTCAGTAATCGCTATATACTACCGCGTTTCTAAGTGGTATCTTGCTTTCCGGACGGCAGCTCCACTGATTTCAAGGGTCTGCTTGCTTAGTAAGCACGAGTAAATATAATGGAAGAATCTACTCATCTAATTTATGTTGTACTTACAAAAGCTCTAAATCTGTGTGAAAATTAGACAATATAAATAACAACAACCAATAGCAAAGCATTTTGAGTCTCCTCTGGGGAACTGTGCAAGGTGGCTGTACTGCCGGTTTGAAATGTTTGGGACTTTGGGCTTGTACTTAGACCAAAAAGTAGAAGAAACAGAGTTAGTGTTTTGGAGTAACATGAGTGAATCTTATAGGAATTGTGTGCAACAGAACTGGAAATCATGGAGTGCAGCTGAGGATCTGAGTCAGGATTCTGGATCCCACGACTCAGTAAGTGGTCGGCACATAGCAGCCTTTGCAAACCTGAATCCTTAGATTTTTCTCTCTTTCAAAATGGAAAAACAAGACCTAGCTGGCACAACACTGTCTCTGTTCCAGTTAGGCAAATGGTTTCTTTCGTTTACCTTGGTAAGAATGTGCCAGTTATGAATCTGTTTTCCCCATATTTTGATTTTTGGACCATATGCAAGTGTTTGATTGATGTGCTATAGAAGGTGCCAGTGGCTTTTAGTGATTTTCCTCCACAGTGTTACTGCCCTGTAAAACATGCAAATCCTAAAACCATTCCAAATATACTAATGTTCTAGAAATGCTCTAAAATGAAATCTTTTTTAAAGGCATGTATTTATAATACAAGCAGTGACTGATGGGCTTTAAGCACAAAGAAAGACTTAAGAATTTGAAGAAAATTTTAAAGATCTAAAAATTCTATTTGAGTACTTATACCTGTTAGACCTTATTGTTGTGCGGAAAGTTGATTATATAAAGCGTTTTCTGAAGGCTTATAAATTGCCCATAATATGTCAGGAAATATCTGGAATTTTGGATCCATGTTCTTGCAGTCTCTTAGAACTTGTGATTAAAGTACGGTTGTAAATATGATTTAATGAGATTATCTGGACGATTTCTCATGTTGCACACAGTTATGCAATATGTTGTACACTAACTCACTGCTGCTCTTTGTCATGGAGGCTGCTGCAAAGCATCAATATTTCAAACTGGAGCATGTGCACCTGAAACCACTGCATAAAACAAGTTATTTGTTCAGAAATCAGATTTTTTTTTTTTTCTCAGATCTTACCTAGTTGCCTGACGAGCCACACCTGAGCACAGGTATTTGATCAGGGAATATTTCGGCTATAAGACAGGTGTTAATTAATTAATACAGAGGACATAAATATTTACATAAATGTGATTTTCACAGGCCTATAGCCTCAAGAGTAGCTTGGGGTTCTCTGGCAAGACATATGCTGTGTAAATGTGAGTAGTCATCAAATAATGGTAAGAAATAATAATAATAATAATAATAGAAAAGCTACCTATTTTTCATCCCAGAAGGGTGAAAGAAAATGGCAAATGATTAACTGTTTTTCATGGATGTCAGAAACTGGACAGAATCCAAAAACTCTTTCAGTGAATATTTATGAAACGGTGTTTAAACCATTAACTACGCTGCTTATCTGAGATGTAGTTGTGCAATCTGTTTCTCTTACTTTGTATTCTTTATCCAAAGGTGGGGGAGGAAAAGGCATGTTTTCAAGGCAGAATTTGTGCCAGATCTGACTTTGAGACTCAAATAAATTTTGAAGATTTAAAAAAAAATACCCTCTGAATAGGTCTGCGTGTTTCTTTTAGTTGGTTACATCAGCCTGAGTCCCAGGAGCGACTGGAAAAGGAATGATGTAGGGATGCGAGACATCCTCCTGGCTGTTAATACCCGTTTGATTTTATCTTATCTGTAATCAAAATAATCATCCTTCTCAGTTACCTGTCATGGAAGCATTTGAGCTGAACCTTGTTTTGCAGTCTGTTTTTTGGAGAACCTCTTTTTTTCCAAGACAAAAAGATCTTCCTTTTTGCCCTTTGTAGGTCAGCCACAGATGTCTCCCTTTCTCCTATAGCTAAAGGAGGAGAGACACAAATGTGTTTCACTCGCCTCAGCTGCTTACCCAGGTTCTCAGGTACCACCGAAACAGATTTATAGAAGGTAGTTTGTTTATTTTCCCCCAAAGTATTTGTATGTTCTGCACGCTTAAAATATTTATTTACCCAGGGGAAAAAACCTTCTACATGCTCAATATTTGCTCATTTCTGTCACCCGTGTTAAAAAAGGCTGTTACTGAGCTGCTCTTAAAATGGTGCAAGTAATACCTACCATTTGCGAGTGAACAGTATGTACCATTTTCTGCTCTCCTGCTTGGAAAGGAGCTATTTCATCAAATGGAAGTGCACTTAGCACTCCAAGGGGAGCTGAGGACAGCGGGCATTTTCCAGGCCGCGCTCTGCGCCTGGCTCACGAGGGGCATCAGCAGGCCTGCAGCTCTGTCGCTGGCGAAGAAAGAAATCTGCCGGGCGTCAGGGATGTTCATTACTTGCTTTAGACTGGAGTTAAAGGCAGTGATGGTTGGGCCTAGTTGCCAGTGAGGTGCGGGCTCCTGCGATGAGTCGTGCTGAGCTGCGAGTATGTCTGACCCGGTGTGGGTGATGCACAAGGCAAGCCAGTTGCGCGGTTTGATTCAGAAACTGGTAGCCATTAGTTAAGGAATGCTTGAGAACGTCATCTCGGATGCTGTTTGGAAACGACTAAGAAAGGGCTGGCAGTGCTTCATGGCTCAGTATTTGGCTCCGTGTTTCTCCAAGTAGGTGTCAGTTCGTTACGCAAGGGTTTTGATACCTTTTGTTAAAATTATCGGACGCTGCAAGGATGATCTTTCTGTCTTTTGCCTTAACGTCAGCTTCTTCTACAGAGATGACCCCACCTGTGGCAGACTTACTTTGATAGCGCCTTGGCCAGAGATATGGCCCTGTCGGGTGGGGATTTATTTCCTTTCCAGTAAAAGACACTTTATGAGATTGTTTGGTGGAATAATCAGAGCTGAATGTTATTATAAAGAGGGTTTTTTCAAAGAGTTCCCGCTGAAGATGAAAATTTTAAAAATCCCCGCTATCCCTCAGCTCCTATTTGGAGAGTTTACGCTGCTGTGCTAGCATCCATTTTTGTTCATGTGGTATGCCTTCTTGGATTTTCAGAGTCTGATTCATCTGTGCTCTTATCTCTATTTTTATTGGTAACGTTATCCCTTGCATTTAGCCAACCCATTCTCCCAGTGAGGTCTTTGTAGGAAGCTCCGGAGTCGATTAGGACTTGCTGCGTTCATGTTGCAGAGGGGAGCACTTAAGTGCAGAGAAATAATGCGACTTTGGCACAGATGCAGCGTGGACTTGCGGTTAGGTTGGGCACGGAAGTGTTACAGCGCAGCAGGCAGGCTTTTTGAAATGCATCTGCTGCTCTGCGCCGCCTTCCCTGAAGTATTAGATTATGATGCAGACGCAGCCTCAGCTATGTGAAACTTCTGCTCTTGAAAACAGGGATCCCCTTTCCTTCGGATTGCATTAAAAACCGTCTGTGGTTATTTGAACTCCCAAACTTTCCCCGGTGTACCCACACAGCGGTTCGCTAGCGCGCCCAATGCCGTGCTTTAATTACCCGCTCGCCTGGCGCGCGTGGTGTTGTTAGCCCCCTCCGGAGCCGGTGCGACAGGTTGCCGCATTCTTTTTCCCCCCCCCCCCCCCCCCCCCCCCGCCCCGCCAGCCAGCCGCGCGCCGGGCCCCGGGGCCCCATCTGTTGCAGCCTCCGCTTCGGGAGCAGAGCCTGAAATGCGAAAATCCGCCTGCCTTTAGGGGGAAAGCTTCCCCGGCAGTTCTTGACGGATGGACGTCTCCAGCCAGACGGCAGGATTTTTCAGAGCTGTAAGTCAGCACGTACCTCGATCGTCCCTGGCTTTCTTCAGTTTTGGGTTGATTTTATTTTGTCAGGGACTCGTAAAGGGAGCAGGTTTTGCAGTCGCCTAGGCGGAGCAGCCTGAGCGCGCTGCAGGACTCGGCTGAGAAGCAGGCGTCCTTCAGGCCGTGTAAGAATTGCATGGTTCTTGGGTATTTTGTTTTTTTTTCATCTTGTTTTGTCTCTTTTGTATGCATGGCTGGCGCAGGGTTGTTGTCCTGTTTTTAGAGCATTTAATTACAATAGCTATTCCAAGGCTGAACAAAATGTTCTTTTATCTAGTTAAAGAATGTAGCTGGGTGGTTTTTTTTTTCCTTGCATAACTTTTTCTTAGTGTTTTGGAAAGAGAGATTATCTTTTTGGGGTGTTTATTTAATTTCAGCCTAAAACCATCTGGTCTCTGCATCCTGCAATGCCTTTTTTCTCATACTGATCGTCTAAGAGAAGCCCATACTGCTGTGCAACTAATTGCTGTGGCCGGTCTTTGCAAACCAAAAAACCCCGTTTGTTGGGCAGCTTGTTGACGGCGAGTTGAATTTTGCTGATTGCCTTTCTTTATTTTGATATCTGATGAAAATCTGTCTGGAGAAAGATGCATATTGCAGGCTTCATGTGCTTCTCTTCCATTTTTCTGCTACGAAGCTAAATGCTGAGCACACATCACTTGGCACTGCAATTAATGGGCCGGTGAGATGACGAACGGCCGATGGGGATGATGCTGACTGTTTCCTAGGGTCGAACCTGAAGCAGCAGGTTTAAAGGTGCCCTGTTAGCGAGGTGCTGGAAGGGGGCTGGTGAACAGTTACTACAGTCTAGTCTGGAATAAGATAAAAGGTATTTTCCCGGCTCCTATATGTTTAGCTTGCTGGTCACTGCTTCTGTTATAGAGGCCACAATTTCAGGTGCAGGGCCGGTTAGGAGAGACTGAGGGTATCTGCCCTTGGAGAACATGGTCCAATAGCTGTATCCCCCTGTATGGGGCAAATGGTCCAAATCTGAGAGAGGCTGTAAAAGAGAGGTTGGCCTGATTTAGGGCACCCTTAGGAGATGAGAGGAGTCTGGAGTTACTGAAACTGGGAGTGTGGAGGCCTGCAGCATCTATGGGAAGAGGAAATGACTGGGAAGAGGATGAAGTGGGTCCTCTTGACATTGGGCCAAACCCTTGCTTTTCAAAATGCCAACTTGATCAAAAGGGTGGCAGCAGGAAGCCCAGAAAAAAGAACTTGGTTGCACTTCAGTTTTGTCCAGGGTTTACTGAGAGTGGAATAAAAACATATTAATTTTGAAAAACTTTTTTTTTTTTAGTGTTTATTTCAAATTGTGGCAACCTGTACTAGGATGTCTTACGGTCATTGAGAAGAAATTAGGTGAATAAAAAGCAATATTGGTGTAAAGCTTTAAAGGTAAGTCATGCCGGTGGAAATCACCCTGAACCAGAGTTTGCCTAAGGCAGCAAACTGGTTTTCCAGCAGGAAGAGAAAATCCTGGCGTCATTTTAGCTTATTGGACTAGCCAAGTAAGCCCAGTGACTAATTTAATCATTTAAAGTCAAGAGAATTTGTTGGAAAACTGTGAGAGCTTGTTATCATGTGTATATGTATATGAGTCTATGTGTTTACTATATGGATTCTCCTATATGAGAGCATGTTCTGTGTGTGAGTAAAAGCAAAGATTGCCTGTGAGAAGATGAGATCTAGCAGCTCTATATTCTTGGAGGAAATAGTCAGCAGTGGCAATCGGTTTGTGTTTCTCACTGTAGGTACCCATACTTTTGTTTAAAGAACTGATACAGGTTTTGATAAACTTATACTCTTCTTCTGATGACTTCTTCTGCTTGCTTGTAATGGCTGACTGTGTGCAGCTTTAAGTCCAATTTCCATCCTATTGGAGCTCGAAACAAATGTGAATAAAACTTGGATTTAAATGCATACTAAAAGCTGCACAACTTTTTAATGGCTGTAGATACAGATTATCATTTTAGGTCAGGAAAAATAACCAGTGTATTTTAAGGGGTGTATTACTTGCAAAAACTTAATTTTTGATAGTGAGGAAAATTTGATGTTTTTCTATGAAAATAAAAATAGCAAGCCAAACAGGAATAAAAAATAGTGTTCTGACTCAAGGTTTCCTGCTTGTGGATTTAATTCACCTTGAGAAATACTAGTTTGGTTCTCGCTCGCCTAGGTTTGTTTTCTGCTGGGGTGACCGTTTCTTTTCTGCAAGGCTTTTGGTGAAGCTCCTTGGCGCTGTGGCTGTCTGTACCAGGGAGAGGCACAAGCGCGGAGGCTCTCCCTGTGCCTCTGGCAGCGACCGGCGTTTGGCGAGTCTTGTACAAGGTTCATTTCTGACGAAATACGAAGGATTTGCGTTGCCTGCCCCCCACCTTGGAGCGACACCCCGTTGTAAAATGGCCTCTCCTGCGTCAGGCTCATGTTCTGTCCATCCGTCGCCGTGGCCAAAGTGCCCTGCTAGCTTGGAGATGTTTCCCGCGCTCCTGAGCGAGATAAAAGTCTTTGCAACACATTTTAATATATTAACTACCAGCCAGATCAAATACAGATTTACCTGGTTCAGCTGGCCTATACCTGCTGGGTTTCTGAACCAGTGCACGAGGCATAAATGTTTTTTAGCAACGTATATGTAGATATCTAGCTTAAGTTTAAAATGGGATTTACCTGAACGTAAGTTTGTGTGCTTGTCTTTTCTTGATGGCATATTCATATAGGTCCATTGTGATCATTGATGCTTAAAAGGGAACATAAAGGGTAAGATGGTTAAAATTAGAAGACTCCTATTAAAGGAGCCAGAGGTAAATATGGCTGTTTGTAGTTTTTTTTCCCCCTATACTGGGTCTAAAGTAGGCACAATTTCTGGAGAAAAAACAGCGTATACCAGTAAAAGCTATAGCCCCTGAAAGAAGCCTACAGTTTATTTTGGGGAAATACCTGCTTTAAGATCTTAGTGTTGCACGTACAGTACTTAGAAAGAACTTAATGTGCGTTATTTCGGTCCTTCCCTTTCCATGCAAGAATTATTTCCAAACCGAACCGACTGTGACAATTTATTTTCAGTAGTCGCTCTCTCAAGTGAGAATGACTAATCCCGGTGCTGTGTCGTTCCGCGTGTCTCATGGTTCGCAAGATTTTCCTGCTGGGTAAATATTGGATCCATCTTTGTTCCCAAGATGGTCATTGCCTCGGTTGGATATAGGGACTCCTTCACTTCCCCTCCAACGAGCGCTCGCTCCGTCAAAGAGCTAACCAGGCTTTCTGTACGCCAACCAACGCTGTGTAAAGAAAACGATCACTTTAGAAACGCTTAGAAATACCGACGGAGCTTAGGGCTTCGTCGCGCGCCCCGTCCTACGGGTGCTCGTGGTGTGTCTAGACTGCAGGCGAAGACGTGACTGAGGCTGGGCTGGAGCGAGCCTGGCTCAGCCCCGGCAGCCGCACCACGGCAGCAGTGAGGAGCTCAAAGTGAGCTAAATTGCCTGAGTAGTTACTCAGCTTCCCCAGGGGATTTGCCAGCTAGGCCTGGTGTTGTCATGGCTACGCTGTTATCAGCACTAGCTTAAAACTAGCTAGTTTAAAGCCTGCTTCTGATTGCTGGGTAGAGATGCCCGTGAGAGGCCGTCCCATGCCTGGACAGCTTACTTTCTAAATAGAAGAGACAGGGAGAAGAAGTGATTTTATTCCTGTTTTACAGGCAGCGAAGAGGGAGAAGTAAAGGGTAGGCTTCATTTGTCGTCTCGTGAATCATCCAAAGTTTTAAGCAAGTCGTCTCGCCTCTCCTTGGCGTCCCTGAACCGAGGAAACTGGAGTGAAATGCCCATGAGAGACGCCTGTTTTTCTCTGCTGTCTGTTACAGGAGCCTAGGCAAAAAGTGTGGGACGGATGCCGAGCATTTTAGATGGCTAAAATTAGGTGACAGAAATCCTGTCCTCGATGCCTTCCCAGAGGTCAAACGGAAAGCCAGAACAGGCAATGAAAGTCTCACTACTAAGTCCAACCGTAAAGTTATTCCGGACTGGATTTGCAGTTTGTAAAGCAGTTTGGAGTCCCGCAGGGCAAAAGATGTAATGCAGTTTATTGGTTTTACATGGCAGCACTAACTGGAAAAAATAATAAAGGTACCGATTTTTTTCTCCGCAGCTCTCAGCACCTCTCAGCTCAGAGCTTAGGGTGGGAGCTGAAGGACTTACACGCCGAGTTTAAGGCAGAGCCCTGTACTATGACTGGGGCGATTTTTTTAGATTGTCTCTGAGGATTTGATCTTTCTTCTGTCCTTGAGGGTTCTTTTATATTGTCAGCTTCAGCAAAACGTACGTTTCAGTGAAGACATCCATGCTGAGAGTTAGGGTGGAATTTGTGTTGGTAAGGAGCTTTTCTTTTGAGAAAAGCAAAAAGAAATAGTTTAGCCTGCGAAATAAAAAGAGACAGTATGTTTTGCATGCAGTGCTAAAACTGTAAGCAAACTATGGCAAAGCATGTGTAAACTTGGTAGGCATGAAATTGTTTTCCATAGTTGCGGAGTGATGTAGCAGAAACACATGAAGTGGGGAATTGTCCACAGCATGTGCTTCATGTGTCGTCTCCTTTGAACTCCCATCCAGCTCTTCAGCACACCAAGCACAGAGCCATCCTGTTCTTCTTTTCCTTGCCTAATTTTTTCCTTGCTTCTAAATTTTTTCTTTCTTTTTTAGCTGAGGGACTGCTTGATCCGAGCGGGTTCCTCACTTCCCTAGC